CTCTTTCTCTCTCTGACCGTCGATCAAATTCCGATGTGACTCTCCGCGTTCTTCGAGTGCTTTCTTCACGTACGTAATAATATGCGTGAACAATACGATCGATTTCAAATCGATCGATTGGAATCACGCGTGCGTTCCTCTCATTCTGAATATAAACCGTGATTCACTCCGCATAAAAATAAATTTTTCTGTCGCTCGGGTCATCTTTCCCTCCGTGATGGACGATGTGTTCGCTCACAAAGCAGTATTGAAGCGAACGCCGAGGTCTTTAGTCTGTTATCAACGCGCGATACATGCGGCTACTTATCGCTAATGTGCATTTATAATGAACGTTCGAGCGTACCGAACATGGGACAGTTTTCATGAAATTTCTTTGGTGTGGCCGCCCGTACATACATAAAATGTCCGACTAAACATAAACGATGGAATTCGTAATACGCTTAATGTGAAATCCGACTTGCTGATTACGTTGAAAGCAATAGGCCACATCTGCGTCAGAAAGACAAGCGCTTATCACCTCGCAGCGTTTCACATCTCTCGCGGGCGTGTGCGTTTCAATTTTACTTATTACTAGTGATTAGCCCGTAACTAAGCTAACGATAACCGTCTGGCTATCGCGCAAAATTTGTCTTACTTCGGCTAATGGATTATAAGCCGTTACATAGTGTCGTATCTTCTTGAACGTAGTTGTGCGAAAATGTTCACATGTTGCAAAAGTACTTTGTACGATCTCCTGGACACTCGGAGCTTCAGTTCAATAAGCGTCTGACTGAATAAGTAAATAATCCGCTTTTAAGGACGTGATATCGTCGCGACGAACCACCACGACGACCTAGACGGTGTTACGAAAGCGAAAGTATCGTCTACTGTTTTCAAAGCCGCGTTGATAATATTTCATGTTGAAGCGGAACGAGATACACGCATGTGCATGGTAAAAAAAATTTTTAACGTCAGGCTTAACATAACTCGCATATTCTAAACGGTACATTACAAATTTTTGTAATAATTTAACACAAGGTGAATACGTTGAAAAGTAACACAAATATAAAAAATTAACGCAAAACTAATATCTATAATATGTTAATCGACATCGAAGCATAAAATGTGTTTAACACACTTTTTAATACACAAGTTTTTACTTGTACTCTAGAACACAAACCAAAGAAATCGGCGGAAAATGGGGACGGGGAAACGGGTTTTTTTTGGAACTTTAAAATTACAACAATTACTATTTGAAAAGTATAACAAGGATCGATTTTAACACGGATACAAAATATTTTGCGCTGTATACGCAATCGCTCGGAGTAAATAACGGTCCTCTCGGATATTTGAAAGTGACTGAAACGCGTTCACCCGGGCCGGCTTTGGAGCTTGACGCAAGTTTCCAGTTTGAGCGCGTGATGAAATGTCAGGTTGCGTGCGCGGCGCTAATGAGCTTCGCGAATTAATTAGAATAAAGCAGAGGCGACGCGTATTGCGCGCGGCAAGTGGGACACGTAGGAAGGTTGCTTCATAGAATTATCTGTAACAACCCGCATCGTTATGCAAATGAACCGTAGTCGCGCTGTTCTCCAAACACATACCCTTTCGTCGGCGTTAAATCTACCAGAAGTTAAATTAAAACGTCATTGTGAAATTCATTCCAGCATGAATGTCGTCGTTCGCGTCTCGATTCGAGACGTCCGATCCGAGTTTGTCGAGACGCATTTAGGTTTTCGACTTTCGATTTCCGACTCCGTCGAGTTCGTCAAAAATCCTAGATCCCGCGAAACTTCCGCGCGCGCGCGGCCGAGAAAGAATTCTTCGTCACCGTTTCGTCACTGATCGACGGGCGAATCGGAGTTCTTACCCGGATAGAAATTAATCGGGGCGTGCCCCAAGTCTGTAGTGGCCTTAAGTAAGGCATGTCCAAAATAGGTCTGCCTTTGTTGAAGCTAGATATGGTGAAGAAAGGCAAATTCAGAATAGAATTTCCTAAATAGGCTCTGTGTAGGCATTGATGTGGATGTCCCTAACAAGGCTTGCACTCCTAAGGCTCAGAGGCTAAATAGCCAATTTCTGAAACAGTTTAAAGTGAGAAGTCTCTTAAAAAGACTTAAGTGAAATTCATCATAATAAGACTAAATTAACTAACTTTGATGTTGGCCCTCAAAAATAATGTCTATAAGTAGAAAATTTAACACAAACAGGCTATAAATCCGTATTTGAATTTCTTATTAATTTTTTAGCATAACAAAATATAATCTAGTTAGATGTACTGAAATATGGTCTAGTTAGATCTGCAAATTTGGCCCTAATTTGTACGAGCGTTACATTTCTGTGTAGAGTCTAAGTGGGCTTGCCTTTATAGAGTTCAGATGCAAATGGAGAAAAATTATGTAGGGCCCTTCCAGTCCCTATTTTAAATTTCTACTCGGGCAGTGGCCCGTTTCCGGCGCTCTTCTCCATACGTCTCCCTCAAAGGGAGTCCAAGGGAGCCGTTATTGCGCGCGTAAACAAGGGTTAATCAGCTGACTGATCTTTTTGACGAGCAGTTCCTGCGCGAGGATCGCGCCTCCTGCTGCTGCCGTTCGTCTGCCCGGCTCGTAAAAGTGAATCCGCGACGAGAACCCCCGACGCAATATCCGACGGTATCCGGATTAATTGCGACACGTCCCAGAATCGGTCTTCTCTCCGTCCTGCCGTCGTCGCCCACGAGATCGTCGGCCGGGTCAAAAGGGTCGCCGTTGAGGGCGAGAAAGCTCTCTCTATCTCCGTCTCTCTTTTTCTCTCTCCCTCTCTCTCTCTCTCTCCATTTCGTTTCGAAGCTTATCGGCACTGGCCGAGCGACGGCTCGCATTCCGACGATCCCGCCTTTTGACCTCATAAAAGCAATATCCGCCGCGGGAATTCGTTTTCCGACTTCGCGCGAAAGGTCTTCCGGACGTAACCGCGAGTCGCCCCGCTAACTCGCATTTATACGCCGTGTCATAAAGAGGATCGCACACACTCACATATACATATATAGGACGTCCTACTTCCACTGTGTTATTTCGTGGTGGCAGATTCCGCGATCAATTCGCAAAGAAAGGCGCACCCGTCATATCGATAGCTGCCAGCATCGCGATGCTCAACGTATCCTTGCGAGCGAATTAATTAAAGTTTCATTCGGGTTTACTCGCGGTTAATCGCAGCTCATTTTCTTATGGAACAGGTTAGGTAGATGCCGTTAGTTCGAGTGGCACCCAAACGTCGTTGTCCTGTCGGCCGACGACACTACGATTCACCGCGGTCGCAGGATCGCGCGATGATCGCGCGAGCGTCGACGGCGGGCCAGGATGAGCGTAAACTAGCGTTTTCTGCATCGTCTGGCGGTAATTCGTTCGATAAACGTGAACAATGTCTAGCCTTAACACGGGCGTAGGAGTTACCGGGCGGAGGTGCCGGGACGCGCGCAGCCGTCGGCTTTCCCACGAAATCACGTAGCGCGTTAACTACGGTCCTTGATATCAAATATTCATGCCGCGGGTGGACGCACACATCATCCTCACATAGCGCTCGCCAATCGAAGGAACATCGCGTTGTATCTCGGACGGCGTGCGGGTGCGCGCTGGTGCGTCCTGTCAGAATGCACCGCGTCGTGGCTAAGGCGACGTCGTTCGCGCTCGACCGACGGGCGGAAGACAGAGAGAAAGATATTATCACACCGTGATTAATCGTGCGTGAGCTTAACGCCGCGACGTTACCTGAAAATGCCGGATGATGCTCATGAGACGCAGGTAAAGATGGGAACGCACGACAGAGAGAGACAGACACAGTAGAAACTTTCGTTACAAACGGTCTACCTAAATTTTCGTGTTACTTTAACAAGATGTATGTTAATTTAATATATATATATATATGTGCTTCTTAACATATTTTCCGTGTTAAAATAACACAGAAATTTCGGTGGACCGTTTTCAACACACAATTTTTTTACTGTGTACGTGAGAGAATAAGAAAAAAGCCTCTTTCTCTCTCTCTCTCTCTCTCTCTTCTTCGTTGACCTGGTGCGATTCTTCCCTCGACCGTCGATCGCGCACCGTCTCGTCGCGTTTCTCTCGCCTAATCGTTGCCTTCCTCGCGGACGCGCGTTCCGGTAATACCAGTTCTGGTGGTCGCATCCTGCCGACGACGACGACGTTTCCGCTGTGCTACGAGCGCGCTTGTTATTATCGTCGCGCGGAGTGTCTGCGTTTCCGCTTATTCCGCTGTGGTTAGGTACTGCCGGATGGCCTGCGGCTCGGATTTAAAATTCGCGCTTGTCCGTTGCGGCCGCGCGCGATAACCTTTCCCTTTATGCGGCAATAAATGTCTAAAAATATCATGCTTTACGGGGCGTGACGCGATGGGCGCTCCGTGTAAATGCGCGCCGTTCGTAAACTGTGTCACGGTGTAATATCAACTTAACTCTCGCTGCCCGGCGATCATCGGACGCGCGCGATCGACGTTTAGCCGACGGTGTGTCGGGGACGAACGGTCTTCGGCCAATCAAGTGAGCCGAGGTATTAAAATAGAGACAAAAAGTACGGCGGAGGGCGCGCTTATTTTCCGATTTTTCGATCGATAACGGCGTCCCTCGGCGGAAAAGGCGTCGGGTTCATCCGTAGATTCAAGCGGACGGACAATGTCGCCGCGAGGCGTTGAGGTGTTCTCCGTTTTGCACGGGGATACGGTTTTCTTTTCGCACTCTGCGCGCGTTTGCGTTCGACTCAGTCGTTTCTTCCGCGCGAACGAAGAAACGGCCATGTGCCAAGGTCAGCTACGGGTCTCTTCCGAACTTCCCCCGCGACTTCTGTCGTCGTCTTCGCCCTCGTATCGCTGCTTGCCATTGCACCTAGTTTCCGAAAGGATCGGGCAGGGGAAAAGAGTTGTGCGGAAGAGAAGCAACCTAATGGATCTCTAATGAGCCACTAGAATTAAGGCACGGCCTCCGGATTATGATTGATGCGCGATCAGGACCTTATGCTTTGTACTCGCAGGATGGTATTGGATCCCAAGGCCACCAGTTTACACAGTGATTACGGAAGTTTCGATCGACCATTGGGCGCCGGGGAGGGCCACGAGAGGGACGTCGAGGCGGCGGTTGATGGAAGCAGCAGCGGTATGGCACAGTCCAGCGACGTTTATCAGCGGCAGCCCCTGTTGCCCGGCGTTCCCTCCAAGAGCAAGGACAAGTGGTCCGGGGTGGCCTCCGGTTCGGACTACTACGAGGACGACGAAGACGAGAAAATCGAGACGCTCGGTCGGCATCCCGGGATACCGAACGGCTCCGGTGCCGGCGTCGTTAAGCTCGACATACCGGCGCCGCTGCGCGAGGAGCCGCGTTTCCCCAAGGAGAAATGGAAAACGTTTCTCGGTAAGAACAAAGGGCGAATTTATCGCCGGCGGAAATGGCTCCCCGGGGGAGCCACCGGACTAGAAAGGTTTCCCCAGGGGAGGAGGGAGGGGTGTCAGCTACGAGACGGAGGATCCTCGTTCGAGAGAGGCGATGTCGAATTCGTGCTGCGCAAATCAAATTTCCCGGATATTGTAATTTTTCTATCAACCTGTGCGCACGCGCGTGTGTCTCCCGCGAGGTGTTCCTCTCGCGGTGTTTCTTCCAACGAACCGATATACTTAGAGCGTTAAATCAGACGAGAGTACACGCGCACTCGACTCGCACACGGGCCGTCCTACTTTTGCCCGCATATTATTTTCTAATAGGCTCTTGGGTTAACGCAGAGCGAATTTTTTCCTCATCGAGAGAGCACCGCCGTTTTTATCGGTCGCCGTTTTGCCGCGATTTTATGCGATTCTGCACGATACAGTTACGAGACGTGTAGGTATCGTAAATGTTGCCTACACAGGAAAGGCTTTCCTTCTATCTTCTCCCGATCCGCGCTCTCCCACTTATCGGCTGGTCCTTATCGATTTTTACGGCGTTCGCGATCGGGGATTCCACCGGTACTTACGTAATAAGCACGGAGCGAGAATTCACCGACGGCGCTATCTAGATGCCGCCGGGGAGGAGAGCTTCGTCGGATAATTCCGCCGCGGCATTACGGGCTCCAGTTCGGCTGCGTGCCGTTCGCTCCCCGGCGGGGGGGACCATCGAGATCGAGGTCATTACGTGACCTGGTATTCGGTACCGAGCGTTCTGAGGGACCCGAGATCTCTCGCCGAGGGCCTCCGTCCGATCGGTCTCTCCTTTTCCCGGCAGCCGACCGGTGTGGATCGCGGCTTTTCCCCTCGGCGGCAGGTGGACGCGAGGAGGAGACGGCCGTGTTCATGGCCGCACGCAAATACGGGACCGGAACGGATTTCGCGAGTCCCGTTAGGGGATCAGTTACGGAGCGAATCGTTGTTGCATGACAGAGTCAATTAACGCCGGGTGATATTCGAGCATGCGAGCGGGAAGAGAAGTAGCCTACGAAAAGTTGCATGTCGCGGCGCCGGGATTTCTCTTTCTCTCTTTAAGCCGTCGCTTTCCGTTTACAGCGTTTCTCTTCATGGTCGTGAACTTCATTCTGACCACGGCGTCTCTCGCGATGGTGCACGAGCGCGTGCCGGATAGAAACACGTACGGGCCGCTGCCGGACGTGGTGCTGGACAACGTCGCCGCGCAAGATTGGGCGCTCACCGTCTCGGAGGTTCTCATCATGATCATGTCGAACTCCGCGATGGTCTTCATCATTTTCCATAAGCATAGGTACGTACGTAGGCGACGAGTCGCACGTGGCTCGATATTGCGTCTACGGTCCACCTTCGGAGGATTATTCATCCCTGTTTGCAGATTCATTGTAGTTAGGCGAGTATTCCTGCTGATGGGGCTGCTCTATATGATGCGAAGTATCACGATGTACGTGACGGTCATGCCGATCGCCAGCAAGACCTATTATTGCAGCCCGAAGGCGAACAACACCAGTCCGCTACTCGTGACGAAGAGGGTCCTGCAGCTCATCTCCGGCTTTGGTTTGTCCATAAACGGCAGGCACACCTACTGCGGGGATTACATCTACAGCGGGCACACGGTCGTGCTCGTGCTCAGTTACCTGATCATCAAGGAATGTACGTGTGCCCCTATTTTCCTCTCTCTTTCTTTCCGTACCAGTCATGCGCTTAAAAATAAATACGCCGTCACGAGGAGGCCTGCAGAACTGACGCGATGTATCACGTCTGCAACGCATTTCAGACTCTCCGAGAAGGTGTCAACCGATCCACTGGTTAGCGGGTCTCACGGTGCTCGTCGGGGTAATTATGGTCCTGGTAGCTCACGGTCACTACACCGTGGATGTACTTATAGCTTACTATGTTACTACACGCCTGTGGTATATTTATCACACGCTAGCCAACAACCCACATCTTAAGGTACGTTCTACTTTTCGACCGTTCGTTAAAACCTCTCCCGCTCGCGGCGGCTACTTATTTCAGACTCTTGATCATTTGTTTCTCCCGAATAATGTAAATAATTTACTTGAATATTAAGCTGTTTGTGAAATGTGTATTTGTAAATCTTTACATGTGCCGTTAGTAACGTATGCAAATCATTAATATATTAACAGATATACTTGTAATTGGCTTGTTCAAAAATCACGATACTTTTGCAGCAATATGGACCAAACAACTTTTTGGCCCGGCTCTGGTGGTTTCGAATCTTCAAGTATTTCGAGAAAAATGTGGGCGGCACAGTGCCACGACAATATGACTGGCCTCTACCTTGGCCTCGACGGTTTCTTGCCAAGCACCCTAACCGAGATAGTTAATACTGGTCCTGATGTCACGATAGAGGCTGTTAAACAAAGGAATTACTTTTGTTGTATATATTCTATACATATACATGTACACACATACCTGCGTATATATATATATATATATACATCTTAGGCTCGTTAAGTGGAAGGTAAAGCTAGAGACGGATAAATGTGGGACGTACGACCGTTTAAAGAGCGGCCACACTCATTGTGGAAGCATGACGCTTTGTGTCGTTCACTTCTTTGTAATCTGATGATCGTGAATTCGCAGACACAATACTCGTGCTCTCTCACGTAAAGTCATCGTCCAATCGGCCCGAATTTACTTTTCGCTTGATTTTGATACGATTTATATACAATGTAAAGAGTAGATAAATGATGGACGGAGTTTACGGTAGTTGTAGCGCGAAGATTCGGCTGGTGGGAGGGTAAGAGCTTGAGCGTTACCGTACAATCGACATGTTTTATTATTAAAACCCGCATACAAATCGCGTTCGCATACCTTCATATAGCTGTGTAAAGAAGAAAAAACAAACAACAAATCGAAAGTAATACGGTATAAATAAGTAAATGTTAGGAGAAATTAAGACGCGCGTCTACCGAGTAGATACGTGTCTCTAGAGACTCGAGCGCGATCACCGCGTATTTTTAATCTCTCCGGCGAGTCGTCACGTCGTAAAAGGTAACATTTCACGATAGGATGCAATTCGAATCTTTCCCCCCCTCCCCCCCCCCCNAGACGAATCTCCGCATTGCGTTCTTAATATGTCTCGACTTCCAGTACCTAGATACGTCGTCGTCCTCAACTTCGCATTCGCGGCACGAATTATTCCGATGAAAAACAAGTTCGCAGAGAAATTTTTGCCAAAGGTGCGCCGTCGTCGCGTCCGCGCGGCGCGGCACACCTCTCCCTTGATAGTCCCCGCTGTAGTTTCCCACCATGTCGATTCTCCTCGAAATTGTTTCCCCGCGCTTCGTCGGCGAGTTAACAGCCCGATCCAGTACTCTAGAGGCGATTGTGCAATTTCGTGGGACCAAAACCAGGAGCGCTCAATAATAGATGTTAGTTCATGTAGCAGTGACGAATTGTAAACGCAAGCATATATATATGTATATCCCCGAGTCGCGAGGTGGCATGATCTCCATCAAATATTCGACCCAATTGACATCACCGGCGTCGACAACGGGCTCGATAACATCATCGATCGAGGATTCCGTGCCGTAAAAGAAATAGCTCACGCGAGTCAACGAATACGAATAACGCCGGTCGCGTGGATGGAATTCGGACCCACTACCTGCCATTAAACAAATTATCGTCGATTCGCGCTTAGAACGTACATACGCCATGCCTCAGATTCGGAACGAGTTTGTCTCGCGAGGAACGCGCGTTTTCCAGAGGACATACATAAACACACATACCTGACTCTTCTAACTTCCACTCAAGCAGCGTCGTCCTCGTGCTGTCTCATACGAAAGTATCATATCTAGAGTAACGAAGAGAAAAAAAGAATCCTAAAGGAATAATACTAACGATAATAAAAAAAAAAAAGAAAAAAAAAGAAAGTACTGACGCCGCGTTCGTGTTTTCACGGAATAAGATCGTCGCACGCTTGTGCACACACACATACACCGGATGTTGTCATATATATATATATATATTATACATATACACATGCGGAGGCGATGTAACACGCGAATCGTGCGAACTGTTAGCGGGGCAATTTTTGCGTGAAGGGTGCGCGCGCACGAATAATCGACCGATTTTTGCTTTCTCGCACGATTCTCTTCTCTTCCTTTGTTCTTCTCGCGTCTCATCTCTTCGATTCCTTGCGTCTCTTGCCCCGTTCTCTTTCCCCGAGAATAAAATGTCTTACGAGAGAAAGAGAACAACGCTCTGTTTCTATTATAATTTAATGATGACGATATTGCGATGTTCTTCTATTGAGGAGACGCGCGAAGATGTGTCTGAATCTCAGTTGATATTGTACAAGTAGGCGGTTAATGATCGCCATAGGCGTGACACGTCCGTACGTTTTTCTAGCGTCCGATAAGAATGGTGTTGCTGCGTGTGTGCGCGCTCGCTGCAAGAGCGCTGGGTAAAACGTGTTTAATTATAGTTTTAAGAACAACTCGTTAGCTGCAGCCTGCGCGCAAATTATTGTTGAACCTTTAGTCCCACTAATTGAGTACACGGGAAATACGCCTATGCAATTCTCCGTCGTTCTTCGTTGATTATTGTGTACGCTTGAGTGGTTAATAAAATTCTTTGCGACATTCCGCCGAAGTCTGTGCGAGAAAGTCTACTACTATCTATATTAGGAGGATGCGAGAAAGCAGTCCGTACGAAAGGCGTCTTGGAAAGAAAAGAAGAAAAGAGAATTTGTAAAATGGCGTCGAAGAATACTCAATATAAAGATCTAATTTGACTTTAGGTTACCCGCGGTTACGTTCCTCTTTTGATTGTTTCCGGAGTGCGATCGGGACGCATTTGACGATCGAGTATCGAGAGCTCCGATTTTAGTAGGGAGAGAGGGAAGGCGAGAGAGTGAGTGAATAAGACAGAGAGATCCGATATAACGCCGTAGGATGGCGTAAATTAACTCTTTTCCGTCTGTGATGATAAACAAACAAAAAAAAATCCGCGCAAATCGCCGAATTGCGCGAGGTCTCGCGGTCTCGAATAGTGTAGCGAGCGGATCAATTCCGAGCGATGTGTCCCTTACGGCCACCTGATATTTCTTCTCGACATTCAGATTATAGATTGAGTGTAACTGTTGAATATACATATATATTTTAATAAGATCAATGTGGTTCTCGTGGTAAATAACTTTTAGCTGGCGGCGCGGCGCACTCAAATGGCGCGCGCGACGATGCGTATAACGCCGTTTTAGGAGGTATACATACATATATATATATATTTTTTTTAAACGTGTGCATAATGTATATAGGCGCACTCTCAGCTGAACTCGTATGTGTAACAATATATATATATATAGGGCGAGTGTGTTGAACTTAACCGTTAAATTCGAACGCGAGAACGGACTCGACGGACGCAGGCATACCCCCACGTACACATACACACACATTCAGATATTATATATATATATATATATATATATATATATATATATTTTACTGTCGGACATGCGTTACTCGCGTACGCCCGACGTGGTGACACGCGTGCAATGCATGTTCCGCGGTGCTATTGTTGCCCCTCTGCCGGATAGGCGGATACGCTTTGTACGCGGCGAAAACAAGAACTTCGATGTGTAGAGCTTAGATCGGCCCGACGTTTACGAGGAGCGCGCAATGGTTTGATCCGACATGATGGATGTTTGCGTGGCCATGAAAATGAGCCAAAGGATCATATCCTTCGAGCACACTGTCGTGTATTACATACAGGTGGGCACATACGCGTGCGGAAACGCGCTCATGTGTAAGTTTGTACGTGCACGCGGATACAAGTGTCTAAGAATGATTTACTCACACGCACACGCGATGGAAGGGAGCTCCTGCTGTTAACGGGAGGGCCTTGTTGATGTTTATAATGTAAGAGATGACAGATATAACAAGTAAAAGAGTTCATATTATTATATTACACACAGCCCGTGATACACATGCACGCACGCGCGCGTGGATATAATATGTATGCGTGTTTATATGTATATACATATACATATATATATATATATATATCTATATTTTTACGTGTAGATATTTTTTGGTAACTTGTTAAAATAATCTGATTAGACCAGTTAAGTATATAAATATAAATAAATAAATTATATATATGAATTTTAGAGAAGGGGATTATATACGTTGTAAATAGCAGTAGAGCGGGGAGAGCTTTTGTCACCACGTGGAGTCACGTTGTAAGCGAATCAAAATTTTGTTACCGTTATTATTAACAATCGTACTATAGCGATTTCCGATTGTTCACGAAGCATAATCGCATTCCGTGCATTATTATTACATTTTCCGACTGGACTGGTTAAAAAACACGCGCAACTTTTTTCTGTTACCGTATGTTGTACATAAAAGAAAGGTCTTTTAATAGTTACTCGTCTGTGAGGAACACATCGATATTATAGATTATATTATTACAATAAAGTACAAGTTGTGTATTCGACTTTACTTTATATACTTCTGTATTTATAATATTTATTACGTTTTTCATATGTGTTGATGTAATAAAGTTTCAGGTATACTTTACTGCGACCGCTCCTCTGCATTCTTCATGGTCATCCTTTAAATCCAGCGTAGACTCCCGTCTATACCTCATCCAGTATTGTAAATTTTCCTTTGAAAAAATATCGAGAACTATCAAGGTAAGGAATGTACATATTTTTGTCACCATATGATCGATATTTCTTGTTTTAGCTGTCAAACGAATTATTTCGGCAGTAGTCACCCTCACTTTACACACATATTTTGGTCATCCTCGTAAATTTACAAGTGAAACGATCTCGTAGTAAAATTCTGTGTATCACAATCATTTTTGTTACATTATGAAAAGTTTGAAGTAAAAGGCGAAATATACTCCAATCGAACTATTCTGTTGTTCATTAATGATGATTAATGGTTAGGTAAGTCCTCACTGAACTTTAATAACTGACGTAACAATTCGCTAATGTATAAATAATGTCATTATTTTAGTAATTTTATTCCAAAGGCAAAAGAATTCAATATATCGCCACATAATGCAATTATGTCGGGTGCTCTTAAATCCTTTGAATATGCTTTCTCATTTAGGAGAGGAGAAAACGCGTCGAATTACTTGAGAAATCACGGTGCAAAATGTCGGAAGTGGTATCTCCGGCAAAATTGGGAGGTACCGGTGACCACGGCGATGTCGGCGAAGGTGATGCGGGGCCGACTGATGAGAAGAAGGAAATGTTACCACGCTACGATTTCGGAAAACGATGGCACCGTTTTCGCGCCCTGACGCCGCGATCGTTCATAATTCGGGGTTCCCGTGCTATGAGCGACCCCCGGTTCAAGTACAGAAGCCGCGGTCGCCAGGCGGCTCCGTGCTCCGTGGTGGCTCTCGTTTACGGCCGAATATTTAGCCCAAAGGAGTGGACGCAGAAACACATTGACCAGGTGCTCGAGTACGGCGACAAGCTATTCCGCTTGAGCATGGCGCGGAACCAGGTGAAGGCGGACGAGTACATGAGGGCCAGCCTGGTGCACAACGAGTTCTACGTGAGCGTCTACAAGGTCTTGATCCGCATCGAGGACAGTGGGATCCGTGGCAATCTCTTCAGCGAGTCTGTCGGCTGCTCCGACCTCGCGGAGGGTCTGCGGAAGTTTTTGCAGAGCAGCGACGAGGCCGGAGGGCTGATCACGGCGCAGGGTAATTCCGCCGCCTTGTGGCGTCAATCTCCCGAGGCTGGTTTCCTTTACTATGACCCGGCGTCGTGCGATGAGACAGGTGTACGTCGTCCTGGCGGTACAGCCTGTCTGATGAGATTCAAGTACCTCGACGATCTGCGCGATCACCTGCTGAAGAGCGTGAACCCGCATTACGACTCCCGTTATTGCATTGACCGAGTCACTGTATTACGCGTCACGGAGGTCGGTCGACCCTTCGTCAGTCCCACGGTCGCTGGCCCGGTGGTGCAGAAGAGCGTGTTACGATCCATCAATCCGGTAGACGTCGATGAGCACAAGAGGGATTGTACGAAGCCGGTTCCGAAGGACGAGGGACTGCGCGGACCTGCTCGAATACGCAAAGAGCCGTTGTCCATCACGATCTCGAACTACAGCATCGACCGCAGATTCGCCACGGAGCCGTTGGTGAACCGGAACGATTTCGACACCGGTTACTCTTACGACGAGATGAGGGTGAACGTGCCGTCCACGTTCAAGGAGCTGCCTGGAAAAGCAGCCATTCTTCGTGGTTTCACTCACGAAGGTAGCGACAAGTATAAAGGCAAGGGTGCTCAGAATGTGGCGAACTGCGTGATGTCCGTCGTCGTAAAGAAAGTGCATCCGGTTAAGACGTGGTTGAGGCCCAAGTTGGACGAGATCCTGACGTTGGGCGATTCCGTGTACGCCGACGTGAAGGCCGAGAAGCCGCTGATAAAGACGATGACGGCAGTTGACTTGGACAACGCGAGGGTCAAAGTGGAGGATCGTAAGCTGGTGGTGAATGTGGATCTCATCTCCGTGACCGGTACGATCAGTTCAAAGGCGCCGTCGGTGTTGAACTTGAAGCAGGCGTTGGAGGAGTTCTTCCTGTTGTACGAGGACGGCGTGCTCGAGACGACTTCCACGGCGGTGGCGGTTTGGAGCCAGGATGACTATTACTACATGTTCGATCCTCGCTCTTGCGACGCCATGGGCGTGAGGATCAAGGAAGAGAAGGCTGCCAAGGTCGAGAAGGGTAAGAAGACAGACATCGAGAAGAAGGAGCTGCAACAAGGGAGCTGCTGTGTAACGCGATTTCCGGACGTGGACTCTTTGGTGACGCTATTTTTCGAGAACATCGACCCGGCTAAGAAGAATGACAGGTTCACCGTCAGACACGTTACTATAATGGACGACAGGCCCGGCATTCGAGCCTGGAACGAATTTCAGCCCGGTATGGCAGGTAAAACCTGGGTGCTGCGCGGCGGAATCTCCAACGTGGATGAGTCGTTCGAGGAGGAGAATCAAGGGGCACAGAGTCTCACCATGTCAGTGGTGGCTTTGGTGAACGCGAGGGAAACTCCACCGGCGAGATGGAGCAGCGAGACCGTCGACGAGGCGGTGCGAGAGGGCGACGCTTATTACGACTGGTGCAAACCTGCCGAGGCGGAGGTGGAGGAGCAGATGCTTCTCCTGCAGGACCTGAAGAAACACTTTTACCTGAAGAATAGCAAGGTGAAGATCGACGTCGAAGAGGCAGCGGTCGTTGGTGATTTATTAGCGCCCGACGACTCCAAAGTACTCAACCTGAAGAAAGGATTGCGTCAGTTCTTCGACGCTAAGCAATACGGGATAGTCGAGACGAAGAATCTTTCGGTGGCCGTGTGGAAAGCCGAAGAGGAGCTCAAAGATAAAGAACCGGGTAAGGACAAGGAGACGTTTTATTACTACTTCGACCCAAATCCTCGAGACGCTTCGGGTCAGGCGGCAGAAGGAAACGAAGAGAACACCGCCTGCGTAGTGCGCGCTTTGGATGTTTCAACGTTAGCGGAGCTGATCGAGATGAACGCAGGGCGGGAAGGTGGGAACGACTTCGCGATACACGAGTTGAAGAGCGTCTCCGTCGGCGCGCCGATGACGGACGAGGAGGTCGAGGCGGATAAAAAGATACCAATTAAGCCGGATTTGAACAATTATTCCGCCATGGGCGACACCGGTGCTGTGCTTTTAGGCGCCATTAATCAGGGAAACGAGACGCTGTTCAAACGGCAGACGAGGAACAAGCAGCAAGCTGCAAACGGTCTCACGACTCTGGCCATGACGAGACTCTACAATCCTCATCTGTGGTACCGCGAATTCGTGGACGATATTCTGAAGATCGGCGACAGGCTCGCCACGGAGAACCTGCCGAACTTGCTGGAGGCGGAGGCCGAAGAAGCAGTGCCCAGGAACTATCTTCTTCCGTCGGAGATCACGGAGGATTTCGACATAGGAGTGAACCGAATGTCGATCGGCCTCGAAGAGGAAGTCGTCAGCGGGCGAGTGACCGAGATGGCGAGCTTGCTGGAGCAGTTTTTCAAGGAGAACGCGATGGGGCTGCTGCGTCAGGGTGAGACGATTATGCCGGTCTGGAGGGAGGCCGAGGTGTTCTTCACGATGGATCCCAGAGGCAGGGACGCTCGTGGCGAGCCCGTTGAAAAGAACGGGGCTGCGGCGGTGATGTGGTTCACCGACTTGCCGTCCTTGGCTGCCGCGATCCAGGCGGTCACACGTGATGACAACTTTGTCATCGACGCCGTCACGATGGAGAACGTCTACGAGACGCGGACGGCCGAGGCTCGGCGAATGAAGAGGACCACTTCCGGGGAGGACCTGTGGCATCATTTCCCTAAACTGGAGGACGGTGTCTGGAACATCAACGGTACAGTCACCATGACGAACGAGAGGTTTGGCGAGGCGAATCGCGGCAAACAAAGCGCAGCCGTCGCCGCGATGGCCATCATCTTCTCTAAGGTTTGCTCGGCTTCAACAATTCACATGTCGCGATTATTTCAATGGTATTCGACGCGAAGAGGAATACCCCGAATAAATACCAACTAACGTTACATCAATGTTATTATTTCTCGCTCAACATGATGAACGTGGTTTCAGGTGTATCAGCCGAAATACTGGACGTCGAATATCCTCGACGAGGTCGTAATCACGGGCGACAAACTCCACTCGAAGTGCGTCGAGAGGCTGGGCGCGGGTTCGGTGCCTCTGGTGAACGAGATGATCAGCGAGTTTTTCCTGTCGACACGGCGCATCGCTTTGACGATCAAGGATTGTGTGCAAGCGGGTAATCTCACCGGCAGATCGCCCAAGGTTCAAGACCTGCGGAGTGGAATCGACAATTTCTTCGAGAAGCACGACGCCGGTGCGTTGACCGTGCGAAGAGACCGGAATCTAGCCATATGGAAGGCCAACGACGCGTATTACGCTTTGGTGCCCGACTGGTCCACCATCACCGTGGAAGAGACCACGTCGATGGCACCGCGGTTGTTCAGGTTCAGGAATGCGAGTCTCCTCGTGGAATATCTTTTGCGTCATTTTGGAGAGGAAGGCGACTACCAGATTACCGCGATCGACGTGTTGGACTGGGACAAACTGCCGCCGTGGAAATTCGATCCCAGCCCGGGGATTCGGCCGACGAATTTGCCACCCTTGAACGCCTACAAAAGATTGCAGGGCGAGGCCCGGGCGATTCTGCGTGGCACTTACCACCAGGGCGGCGACATCTTCCCCGAGACGCTACGTAATCGGCAAACTGCGGCGAATTGCGTCGTAGCGCTCGGCATGTCGGTCATCAAGAGCCCCGTCACCTGGACGAAGAAGACTATGGACGAGATTCTGGCGATCGGCAGCGGCGTTCATCTGGAGACGAAGAAGGCCAGACCTACCAAGTCGAGACTGAAGCCGAAGGATATCATCAGGGTATTCTACGTGGGTAGGTCTCCCTTCCTTCCATCATTTTCCGTCATTTTCAGCCAAGTAAACCGGTTAGTTCGTGTATCGAATAATTTTTCTTTGAAAGGCGTCAACGTTCTGACCGCCGACGTCGAGCCCAACATCGTGACCGGTCAGGTAGCGATCGCGCCTGTTCTCGAGGAAACGAAGGAAAAGAAACCGGGGGAGAGGAAGAAGGCACCGCCAAAAAAAGGAGAAAAGGCCGTCAAGGACAAGAAAGAAGTAAAACGAGAACGGACGCCACCTCCCCCTTCGATTTTGCTCGAGGAAGGCCTGCGGACATTCTTCCAGAATAACCGCGCCGGCATCTTGGTGACCGATCGAGGGATGATCGCCATCTGGAAAGATCTGGGAGTTTATTTCATGTACGACTCACGGGCACGAAGCGATCAGGGTCTGCCGGACGCCGACGGCACCTCGTGCGTGATGTGGTTCGCTTGCATGGAACCCTTATACGACATTATCTTCGCCAACGTTAACCAGCGAGAGAAATACGGGCCTTTCGAGATCTGTCGGGTGATCATAAAGACTACCATGATCGAACCCTTGCCGTGTCCAGCCGGCTTCCGACCTTGCATCGATAGTATCGCGCCGGTCATCTCCGCGAAGAAGACACCGAACGTGGAGCCGCTCAGCGAGTACGTCATCGTGGACGAGGAGCTCGGCGTTCTACTCGGCACTCTGCACATGAATCATCACGTCTACAGTCCGAAGAGCCGGGGTCTACAGAGTACAGCGATTGCTGCGGTCGCGATCGTCGTGGGGTTGCTGCACGTGCCGTCCACGTGGACGGCTGAGCTGATCGACGCCGTGCTCAAATACGGCGACCAGCTGCACTCGGACAGCGCCCGGGTGGCGCGTCCGGGCGCCAGGAACCTCTCACCCAGCGAGCTGCTCACCGTCTTCATCGTGGGCGACTTCCGCGTCACCGTTCATGTCCACAATCACACAGCGGCGGGCATACTCCATGTCTACGATCTGTCCGAAGCGATGAGCATGTTCTTCCGTACCAACTGCGCCGGGATACTGCACACGACCAACATAGCGGTAGCCGTGATGCAGCACTACGGCAAATTCTACATGTTCGATCCGAGCTCGAGGAGCGACCGAGGCGGACCTGCGGCCGTGAACGGCGCGGCCTGCGTGATGAAGTGCGACAGTATCGCGAGGATGGCCGAGCTCTTCGTGTCTAATTGCAACCTCAGAAAGCCGAGCGTGTACACTCTGAATGCGGTCAACGTGCTGAGTCTGCACTTTTTCTCGGACACGAGGACCGTTTGCCCGCCCAAGTAGAGAAATTATCCTCAATGAAATTCACGATTTTTCCCTGTAACTCGACTGCAGATAGAGCATGTGCAAATGAATATTGAATATTTGATAAATAATACGATTAATGGGTAAATAAAGCAGTAAACTCGTTCTTTTCGACAATCCTTTTATTATCATTCTTTATTGGCGGAATTTTGTCAGTGAGGAAATTTGGATGAAATTTTTGGGAATTCAAAAGAAAGGTCCTCCAACGAAGAGGAAGGAGTTGTAACGGTAAGATTCACAGTTATATGTATACAACGATAATATTGCGTATCAAATAGAAATTTATATTTCTTATCAAAAATATAGAGTCACAATCCATAATAAATAAATATAGTAAAATATGTTATAAATCTGTTCATTTAGTCTTAAGTGTTGTTTCTTGGACATATTTTTCTATTTTAACGTGTACAAATTGTGCAAAAATTTCGTGCATATATTTTCTCTCTCTCTTGACTTCGGTAGTCAAGATGGCCGCGGCGAGGAAACGGCAGTTCGAATGTAAGCGAGAAGAAGCCGTTGATAAATTTGAGGTGAGACTGCAGAATGTCTTGAAAGTGTCGATTGTATGGTATCGCGACTACCGAGATTACGTGTGTATTGTGTACATTCGCATTAATCGCCGCGTTAATCGTGTTTTTGCCAATTGTTTTGGTAAGCACTCGCGTGTGTGATGTACCTTTCCTCGACCGAGGTGTTGCGTTCCGAGCCGTTGGGCGACGCAAATACCGCGGAATATATGTGACGATGCATTGAACTATTATTCTCATCGTCTTAAAGTATTTCGAATCGAACTACGAACTCTCGTATTGAACTACGAACTCTCGGATTGAACTACGAACTAGTCGTATCTACGTGTGTATTAGTGTCAGTGTTAATGTCACGACCTAGCAACACAACATCTAAAATCGGGATATATAAGACGTCTTGAAGAGTCTTTTAAACGTCTTATGTTCCGATTTTAGACGTTATGTTTGTCTGGGAAGAGACTACCACGAGGAACATCCAGGATGCCGGATCAGAAAGCTAGGATGGAGAACACAGGACGTCAAGACGCACGCCACGGACATCTGTTCCAGGTGTGTTCAATTGTTTATTATATCGGATGTCTTCGTCTTTTACCGATATTTGACGAACCTTAATTTAATACCGAGAGTATAGGAGATACCAACAGTCGATATCGAACCGCAAGGCTCGAATATCGTACGTCGGATATCGAATTCATGAATTCTGCATTATCTAACGAGTTTTTATCGTGACACGGCTAGGTGGCGCCAAGCATATTGTTGGCCATATTTTACTGAATGCAGCGAATCGTACCATCGTTTCTGTATCCTAAAATTTTCGTTACGTGCCGCCACTGTTTGGTGATCACATCGAGGTTGCAGTATAACTTAACCACAAATACAATTTACAAGAAACGAGAATTGTTTGCCTTCGATTTCGAGGGAACTTGGCATACCTGTAGAATAGCCAAGGTTAAGAAAGACAGGTAATTTTGTATAGGCTGATATGTTATAGATAACCGAGGTAATCATATACGCGTATAATTTCTTTTCTTTTTCGTGGCACAAATTGCTTTAACATTCTATCGTCTCGCTTGCGCGCTTTTGCATCGCATTTCCGTAATATTCCTTTTATTATGTTAATTAAATTCTGGCTATTAATCTCGCGCATTTATCAACGTGCGGACGCGAATATCGCGAAATCTGTTAACGGTTACGATTATTGAAATATGCGTTTAATTCGCGAGGCGTGCGATATATCAATGTGTATGTGTGTGTATCTATGTGTGTATGTTTTACAATATAGTATATTCTGCGCCAAAAATTCCGAACCGTCGCTATATTTCGTGCTTATTGACAAATCGTATGCAAATTATCAAAGGGCGAACGGTCAGAACTGATTGGCGGAACGGAAATACGGCTGTTTTGCATCAATGCCCGATCTGAAGCGACTTCCGGTCTTCTACTCTGGCTCTCCGAGCATTTAGGATCAAAAGAACTCGAATGTATCGGTGTATATTCGCATTACACTCCCTCTTTTTTCGATAATTCTAGCTAATCATCATGATATCGGTATCGTGCAGAATGACGACTATCACGGGAGTAATTATGTCGTATAAAATTCAGTAAATTTCCTCTCGCAGATATCTACTTGCACGTAACATCTCTTTCTCTCTCGCTCTCTTTCGTTTTGCTCAAGTAGTGGCGGCGAAGGCGGATCTATAACGCGGCGCTCGTGTGTGATTTTGATACCTTCGGTGGGGCAAAAGATCGAAAGAACGGCAACGCGCGCGCGTTGCGGCGTTCCTTCTGACATTCAAATGTTGGCCGCTGACGAAAAAGGATACATAGAACCCGACACCGCCTATTCATCGCTCAAAGGGATCATTTATCAACATATTTGATATGCTCCCCACCCTTTCCATTTCGATATAGAGGAGAGCCGCGCCGCGCACTCCCTCTTCCGCGGCCGGCTTCCATAGAAATAATATGCTAATCGCGCGAAGGCGGAGTTTAAAAAGTGCACCGATAAATTCTCGAGACTTTTGACGTAATTTCGCCCCTTCTCGCCGCCGCCGCCGCAGCGTCTTCCGAAAGATTCTTTTTGCGCGCGCTTTCCGGCGTCTTGAGAGAACTTTACCTTACCAACGTACCCCCGGTATATATCATCGGAGCGATATACCTCTTCTTAGATCCCCGTAGATCCTTTCGCGTCGCGTCGCATTCAGTCAACGATTTTTCCCCCCGATCAAAATATCCTGTCCGGCTAAGTGTGCGTGTATTTTTCGAGATCGCGAGAAACAACATAAGTTGTGAAATCTGCTTTTTGTCTGACCGAAAAGACCTTTTAGTACTATTTTGCTGACGCAGCGACAAGAATTGTAATATCGTTAATTAAGGCGACATTCGCCTCTCAAGTGGCCGAATAGCAGGTCTGCCGGTAATTCCTTTGCAGCACGGAACGATCTTCTTTTGAAATAATCTATGCGTACGAGTTTGTTTTTCGATTTGCCGACACGAAAATATTCGTACACGGAATAAGTGGAGAAATTGAATTATATGTCTGAGCGTGCTCGCGCGTATCGGAACGGCGTAAGTGATTGACGCGAAACGTTAAGATCATTTACAAATCCCCCTCATCGGCACTTATGCGCGCGGTGACGCATACGCACATATTTATGCACCCCTGCCCCTTACATATCGCGGCCTCATACATATATCGCTCATATTAGCCACAGGAGCTGAATACTTCGATACCGAGAATCCGCGTATTTTCATTTAAAATCGTTCCATATTTCGTTGTTGTTTGTTCGAAATATTATTGACAAAATGACGAAATCGCAAACGTCGCGTTACTTTCTAAGGAAATAATCGTGCACATTCTATCAAACTTTTGACGTAAAAGTGCTGCTTTAACTATAAGCGACATTTTAAACATCCCGTTTAATTCCGTTACATTCATAAACATTACAAGTAATAATCATAAGAGACAGACACATTTCAAAAGTTTTCTTAAAAATGTGCTCTTTAAATTCCCTCGAATAAAATTTCACACGAAAAGAAAGTTGACGGCCGACTGACTTCCCACTTATACGCGGAGTGAATTTTTCCGCTCTGATTGGATACTTTCACTCGAAATTGAAACTTGAATCTGAAGTATTTCAACGGCATTGAAATCAGATTCATTTTAATCGACTGAAATATTCACGCGTACGGATTAAGAGTTTACTTTACGGTTTAAGTGAAACATCCACACTCTTGCGACTCTTGCGAGCGGCGGTATTTTAACTAGTTTTCTTTCGGGTGAATTTTCATTCGTTCTCCGTGAGATTTCTTTTCAGGAAATTCAAAGAGTACGTTTTGACCAAAATAGTAGCGGAATTCCATCGATACTGTGCATCGTCATCAATCGTTGTAGACGTCGGTGTTGAATTAATCTGCCGCACATTCAATTCCGAAGCGCCGCGTCAGCGAGAGACACTCTCGAGCATATTGAGGCGGGTTCCGCGGCCGGTCACCATTTACTTTAAGCCCTCCTTTCCATATTTATCTCGGTCTACTTCATTACGGCCACTTCGAACGTTCCTTTTCTCCCGTCTTCTTTTCTGCCGAGTATCTTTCGGTTAGGATTACGACTCTCCTTCTCCGAGCGAATGGCTGTGCGGCGGTTATTAGGATCACCACCGGCGCAGATTGCTTTTGCGCGAGTCCAGAATTTATGGACGGTGATGATAAAGTCTCGTGGAATCGTAATCGAATGTCTTTCACGACGATTCCACTGGAAAAGTCCTCCGATGCGACGACGGCTGTAAATTCAAGCGCGTTGCGTTCGTCACACGAAGCCGCATTTCTGAATACGAGATGGAAAGCGCGAGATATTTTATATACTGTTCCTTCTTTTCGCGATTTCGATAATTGTCACCGGTTGACGATCGAGACTTTTCGCGACCTGAGAGAGGTACGCAGAGATATTTTGATTTAATGCGTTAACTGCTTTATTTTCGAACGGCACACATACGTAACTGTGACTTCGGTAATAATACATTAGAATACATTATATTAGAATAAGAGAGATGAGTTTGAAAAGACAGGATTATCTTGAAAAATTATATTTCTTCCTTAAGACATTTATTTGTTTAACTATCCAAAATAAAATGACGTATACCAGAATACGTGGAAAAGCCTCGCGAGGATCTTCACGGTGGTATCTAAGGTTTCTCTCTTCCCCCTGACGGGGCATACGCCCCGCGATTTAAGTCGTCAACTTTTATGGGGGTAGTTTTCGCGGAGACGGTCCGCGACAAGCCAACATAAAAGGGGGTGGAAGTTTCCGGTAATATGGCGGCTTCCCGCGGAATATGGCGGCAACTGTATACAAGAGATAGCGACAATATTGAGGCGGGCGGACGGTCCAAAGAAAACCGAGCGAATCCCGTTTCGCGTTCGCTGCTACGTCGGATCGATATCTTTTTTCGATATTTCCTTCACCTCCACCTAGGATCGTCTTGTGCTTTGTACATAACACGCTTCCGGTGTCAACATCACACAGAATGCCCTAACACTACTGGATGATTATAAACTGTTAACGGTCGCGGTTTTCTTCAATTTTTTTATATATATCAATATCACTCTATATAATGAATATCGTGAAGAGGTGGGAATAGAGCAAAGTGCGAGGGAAAG